ATGCAGGTTACGTAAAGCTAAGACTTAACTCTTTAAGTGACAGATTCATGTTCGTTACTTAGCATCTTTCCCAATGTCTATTAAAATTTTTCGTAGAACTTCAGAAATACAATGATCTAAATTAAATTTATGATGTACATCGTTCGGTTTTGGTTATGAGCTTGTGTGCATTGTAGTGAAAATTGAATTTAAAAAACTAAAGCAAAACAAGTTTTTATCCCTGGGACAATGTGGCTTATGCAAAGAACTGTGATGAGTCAGATTTTTTGGGCTGTAGGTTGAAACCTGCAAAAATTGGCACGTTTTGCTTTAATATGCAAAAAAAAGAAAAAGAAAAGTAATATTTGAATGTTGTATTTGTTTCTTTTTGAAAAATTTACTTATTTTCGATGGCAAAATGGACACATTCAATATCTGGTGATCAATCAGCAATAAATGTGATAATTAAGGTGTCATTTCCGTACTGATGATAGTCGCCCCCCTGACTCCATAAACAATAAATAAAAGATAAAATATATATATATGTATATATATATATTTAAAGCTGAAATGAAAGTTTCATACCGCAGCATATTTGAGGTCACTGTAACCTTCAAAATAAAATAAAGGAAATAAAATTGTTGTTAAAAAAATGTAAAATACTCAAAAGTCTAGCGCAATACTCTCGTGAACAACATTTGGTTTATTTAATTTAATTATTCACTCAACATACAATTTCATTCATGTTCTACTTATATTATTTGGGATCTAAAATTGTTATTTTGTTCACATTAGCATGGTACTAGACTTTTGATTTTGTTCTACATAATGTTATTCTTGAGGCTGAAGACTCCTTGTAGGTGGCCAATGTTTTACTGCTGCTTGTCAGTTTTGACTGTTAATCCTTTTGCTAATTCCCCGTTTCAACATAAGAACATTTATTACAAAAGGAAGATGCCTGCAGACTGTATCCAACCTTGAATGTCTATTGGCGCTGTTTTCTACTTTTGTAATAATGAATTAATTCACAGAAAGGTATAAGAATGCACAATGTGTACAAAAACAGTCTAATATCCCAGTATTTGGTGTAATCTTTAACTAATTAGTCGACAAGAACATAGCCCTCTCAAATCATCAATACCATGCATTAAAAAAAAAAATAAAGATTAAACTTAAAGAGATTAGACAACTTCTGCAAGATATTAGCTGTTCAAAAATGACAAAAATGTTCTTAAGCCTCTCTAAAGGACAGAGTGACCAAACAGGCTGCCTTTTGTTTAACTCTACGAGCTAATGGCAGGAATCTGACTAGCTGCTTTTCAACCTATGTGTGCGGGACGGAGGGATACAATTTATCTATCGCCAGTAAAACGAATCAGGTTGGGGTATTAGCAAAAGGATTAAAAGTCAAAATTGCCGAGCAGCAGGAAAACATTGACCACCCACAAGGAGTCATCAGCTCCAGAACAAAATTAAAAGTATAGTTTTATGCCACTGTGAACAACATGCCATGTTTAGATTTCTAATAATTAAAATAGATTATGAAATTAAAGAATATATCTATATAACATTTGTCTGCTATAACATTTGACTTCTTGTTCTTTGTCAATATATAAAATGTTGCATTCCCTACATATGTCTAGCCTTCTGCAGCTCCACTTTGCAAACTCCTTAGTTTCCAGTCTCTCCATATCCCATCTCTCTTAATCCTGATGTACAATGCAATCTACAACTCCTCTCCTTCTTAAAAAAAACTTGCCTTTCCAAAGCTGTCTACTATTGACCATGACCATCTCCTAGTTATACCACTTTTCCTGAGCTGTCTTATATATTGTGAACTGATTATTAGAAAACGTCTATTATTCCATTACTACTTTTAAATTCTCCTTTAAATATTATCTCTGTAAGCAGTCTTACTCACCATACCACAAACACCATGCTTTATAATTTTTCAATATACATAGTCTAATAGTTTTCTGTTTTAGCTATGGTACTATCCTGCTACAGGTCACCATTTATCCAGTTCCCTAAGATGAGGCAAGTCTATCAAAACCCACTATTCCCATTATGTCTCTATTGCTGTTGAATTCTTACTACTAATTGCATCAATACATTATTTTGTATTTAAAGGGAAATTGCCACTTCAATGCTTATTAATATGTTTAATTATCCTCTTTAAAGATAATTAATTGTTACAATCTACACCAGTGTGTGTGCTTCCATCTTGGATTCCTGTAATTCTTTGTTATAACCTCTGTCGGTCAACAAGGAGAGAGTGTAGTATGTGCCCTAGTTGTGCATTGACTAAACTGGATTATACACAATTCTTTTGAGATACTGCAATAATTACATTGCAGAACTAAGACTTTGTCTACTGGCTGTCAATCAGACATCCACTAGAGGCACTTCCTGCTTGGTAGTTAACTTTTGGTCTCTCAACTGATGCTGGACATCCTTACATTTTGTTCTGCATGAAGACATCTAGCGTCTGTAAAATCGCCATAGGAAAGCATTGAAGCAATGAAAGGGCATGAGGGGATGGGGGGTAACACTATAGAATCCCTTTAAAGGGACTCTATAGGCACCCAGACCAATGAGGACATCTAGCATCTGTAAAGTCGCCATAGGAAAGCATTGAAGCAATGAAAGGGCACAAGGGGGGTGGGGGGATGGTTACACTATAGAATCCCTTTAAAGGGACACTATAGGCACCCAGACCACTTCAGTTCATTGTAATGTCCCATGTCACTTAACAATACAGTGGTAACTATTGCAGTCTTAATAAACTGCAATAATTACCTCTGAGTGTTAACTGCTTCTCTAGTGGCTGTTAAATTGAAATGGACGGTAAATGCTCCTCTAGTGGCTGTTAAATTGAAATGGACCTTTGGTCCGTTATCTGATGCTATACGTCCTCACTCTCTGCATGAAGACCTCCAGCATCAGATTTTCTAGTTAGGAAAACATTTAATAATTCTTACCTATAGGGAGATCCTAATGCGAGCGAGGCCATTGACGTCTGCTGGCAGGAGAGGAGCGTGGGCAATAATGGGACATTGGCGCTGGACCCAGGTAAGTGACTGAAGGGGTTTTAACTCCTTCTGCACCACAAGGGGGTGAGGGGGCAGACTTTGAAAGAGGGGGAAGCTATAGTGCTAGGAAAACAAGTTTGTTTTCCTGGCACCTGGCACTATAATTTTCTTTTACGGTAAGTATATCTCCCTATCAGCTTCCCTCCTTGTCCATCTACATATGTCACTTTGGGTTCCCCCATTAGTGACATTGCCACTTTAACCCACCAATCAATGGATCTGCATTAGATATATAATTTCTACTCCCTAGTACAGGTGTGGGCAACCTTTGACACTCCAGATGTTATGGACTACATCTCCCCTGATGCTTTGCCATATTTATGTCTGTAAGAGCATCATGGGAGATGAAGTCCACAACATCTGGAGTACGGAAGGTTTCCTACCCCTGCTCTAGGATATACTTAAAATAGAAAAATCTAAATGTATACTTCCTGATAAAAAAAAATGTTCTTATTATTATATCAACTTATTTTTTATTATAAAAAATCTAACTCTTTTGTATATATGTCACCTAGTACCTTATTTTGGACCTTACAAGAATACATTAACATTTATATAGTAATAATATATTTATATAGACATTAAACTGACTTCACTGTTCTTTTAAGTCATTTTACGGCACAGTTCCATAAATTAATGATAAAAAAATAAATAGGCTGAATCTTTCCATAATTTTTAGCCTCACTATTATTCCTTGTTTGGATTACATCATTTATTTTTATATGTAAAGGTCTTTTACGTTTTTCTTAAATCGAGTTTCCTACAGAAAAAAAAAAAGATATAAAGGGCATGAATTCTGTATAACTCGATTATTTATTTATAAGTTTTCCTCCAAATCCCTTCCAGGCAGATATTAATATAGCTACAGACCCACAAAAAAAACAATCCTTTCTGAAATGAAGATACTACTTTAGCTAAAAAAGAAATAGGTTTCAGAATGAAACCCTCATTAGTTAATGGTTTCATGATAATAATGTACAATTGTGATTTTGTTTCCCTATTTAACCTATAATTGACCAATAAAGTCATAATTTCTTTATAACAAGCCAGCAGTCAAAGATCCTATATAACAATGCCGCATTCTATTCATTTCATGATAATGGGATGTGTAGGTCTGTAAAATGCTAAATAAGGACGACATTACAACTGTACTTACTGTAGGTACCTAGGTTTCAACATGTGAAAACATAAATATCATTGGTATTAAACATATAATAGAATTGATCATGCATTCTATTATTTGCCAATTCTAAGAATGTAAATGTTGCAGTCTGTTCGTAAAACAACATCTCTGATGCCTTAAAGGATCACTATAGTGTCAGGAAAACATAGCGGTTTTCCTGACACTATAGTGCCCTGAGGGTGCCCCAACCCGTGGGGCTGAGGGGGTTAAAACCCCTTTAGTAGCTTACCTTATTCCAGCGCTGGTGACCTCTCCTCCCACGCCCACGTCAGCTCCCTCTGCCGACGTCAGCTGATCCGAATGTAAGTGCCACGCTCGCATTCAAAGTGTCCATAGGAAAGCATTTCTCAATGCTTTACTATGGACGCTCTGCGTAATGAAGGCATAATATAGAAACATAGAAACATAGAATGTGACGGCAGATAAGAACCATTCGACCCATCTAGTCTGCCCAATTTTCTAAACACTTTCATTAGTCCCTAGCCTTATCTTATAGTTAGGATAGCCTTATGCTTATCCCACGCATGCTTAAACTCCTTTACTGTGTTAACCTCTACCACTTCAGCTGGAAGGCTATTCCATGCATCCACTACCCTCTCAGTAAAGTAATACTTCCTGATATTATTTTTAAACCTTTGTCCCTCTAATTTAAGACTATGTCCTCTTGTTGTGGTAGTTTTTCTTCTTTTAAATATAGTCTCCTCCTTTACTGTGTTGATTCCCTTTATATATTTAAATGTTTCTATCATATCCCCCCTGTCTCGTCTTTCCTCCAAGCTATACATGTTAAGATCCTTTAACCTTTCCTGGTAAGTTTTATCCCGCAATCCATGAACCAGTTTAGTAGCCCTTCTCTGAACTCTCTCTAAGGTATTAATATCCTTCTGAAGATACGGTCTCCAGTACTGTGTACAATACTCCAAGTGAGGTCTCACCAGTGTTCTGTACAATGGCATGAGCACTTCCCTCTTTCTACTGCTAATACCTCTCCCTATACAACCAAGCATTCTGCTAGCATTTCCTGCTGCTCTATTACATTGTCTGCCTACCTTTAAGTCATCAGAAATAATCACCCCTAAATCCCTTTCCTCATATGTTGAGGTTAGGACTCTATCAAATATTCTGTACTCTGCCCTTGGGTTTTTACGTCCAAGATGCATTATCTTGCACTTATCCACATTAAATGTCAGTTGCCACAATTCTGACCATTTTTCTAGTTTACCTAAATCATTTGCCATTTGGCTTATCCCTCCTGGAACATCAACCCTGTTACATATCTTAGTATCATCAGCAAAAAGACATACCTTACCATCAAGACCTTCTGCAATATCACTAATAAAAATATTCAAGAGAATGGGTCCAAGTACAGATCCCTGAGGTACCCCACTGGTGACAAGTCCAAGCTTTGAATATATTCCATTAACTACAAACCTCTGTTGCCTGTCACTCAGCCACTGCCTTACCCATTCAACAATATTGGAATCCAAACTTAAAGATTGCAGTTTATTGATAAGCCTTTTATGTGCAACAGTGTCAAAAGCCTTACTGAAATCTAGGTAAGCAATGTCTACTGCACCACCCTGATCTATAATTTTAGTTACCCAATCAAAAAAGAGGCTGTCTTAACCCTACTATTTAAACATAGCAGTTTCTCTGAAACTGCTATTTTTGCATCTGCAGGGTTAAAACCTGAGGGACCTGGCACACAGACCACTTCATTGAGCTGAAGTGGTCTGGGTGACTATAGTGTTCCTTTAAGAATTTATGTGCAATATTTAGGCAATTCATATCTGATCTTTATGAAGTCTCCAGTCCTGACAAAGAACATTTTTCCCAACTCAGCAATTGTGATTTCAATTTTTCAGGTTGGATCCCAAGTCATTACAACCTGCGTTTTTGTGAATTAACCTCATAAAGTTTCATGTTACATAAACATAATGTGGCCTATGCTTCTCACAAATCATTTGGCCTATGCTTCTCACAACCTCAAATGATATCCTCAGTGGCGCTTTAAGCTCAGGACAGCAGTGTGTCTCAAGAAACGTCATGCAGAGTTTCCATTGTATTACTCCCTATTAGCTCTGCTTGAAGGCTATCCAATGTAACTACACCGTGTTCTGTAAAGTTAATTTTACTACATTTACCAAATAAATTTGTATTACTAAAAGTGTTATTCACTAGAGTGAGAATTCAGAGTGAATTTTAAATGAATTTCGAATTTAAGGTCAAAATAGACAGACTGGAAATCTATAAGTCAAATATACTCTGGCCTTAAATTTCACATTCATTTTGAAGTCAACTTGAAATATCACTTTAAAAGTGAACCATATAAATATGCGGCCACAGTATTCTTAGAAGTATACATGTCTCTATGTCTCTGTACATGTCGTATTTGAAATATGACAGCGTGAATTTGGTAGTGAATGATGCCTTAATTCTCTATTTGTTGCTTTTTTTTGTTTATTTTGTATTGCATCTCACCAAAATGTGGCATGGGGTTATAATAATGTTCATATGACATGCTACATTGCACTAATATTTTACTAGTTTAAGCCTTTAAAGATCCACAGATAGTACGTACGCACCTCCTAATGATTGTGTACTTTGGTGTGTAGACACACATTACACATGAACTGTTTAATGTTTAAATACACCCTAGACATGACTTACAGTAAGTATTATTTCAGATGCCAGACACGTTGATGATGATAATTTGTTATGATGATTATTTTAAATTAAGAATAATATTTTCTCGAGTGATTTAAGATCCATCCCCGGGGTGCAATGTACTGTCTTGCTAACTGCTCTTGGAGTGAATCTCTAGTAATTTAGTCACTCTATGGCTTGTTTCCGAATTGTGATTACACAGTTCTCGGATGATGTAATTGTTGGCGTGACCACTTTTAGCCTAGACCATGCCGCATGTTATGGTATGAAATGGCTCTAAGTGCGTCCTAATCCTGACTTCGTGTTTGTGGCTGTGTTGCTGTCAAATAGATTATTAAGTTAAGTTTAAAATCCATCAGATAACACACCTTATCACCTGTATAATGAAGCAATATTGAGCAGGGTCCTCTTCAACCTATTGTTCCTGTAAGTTTTCTTGTAAATGTCCTATTTATAGTTAAATCCCCCCTCTCATAATATTGTAAAGTGTTATGGAATCTGTTGGCGCTATATGAATGGCAATAACAATAATAATTATAATATGGTCTTAAATCTACCAATTCACTTAGAATAGGAATTAAACGTGAAAAGCAAGCATGAGCATTTTGATTTCGAAAATGCTTTTTGTCTGCAACTGCACTAGTGAGGGGCCAGTTTGCAAATGCAGAAACAAATTTAGAAAACTGTAGATTTAAAAAAAAACTAAATAAAAATCACCTATATAAATTCTGCCTGTCTGTCTCTCTATCTCTTTGTCTTTCTATATCTCTGTATCTGTTTTTATCTGACTCCCTTTCTGCCTGTCCTTCTGTCCATCTGTCCATTCATCCATCCATAAATGCAGTCCAAATGGGCAGCTTACGTGCTTCTATAAACTTGTGTTGGCTGGCTGAGCATTGTGAGAGTTGTATTTCGCCAACATCCAAAATGCCAAAGTTAGCCATCACTGACATATCATATATTTTTATTAATTGGCACTGTTCCCGTTACGCAACCTAATTATTATTATTTGAAGCTGAATTGGGATGTATTAAAATGTTCTTTAAGAAGCGCTGATTCTGTCATCTCTCACGGTAAAGGGATATTAACTTGACACCTAGTCACTGAAGCCACAATCAGACAAACCCTTCTTGACCTTCATAAGTGCTCGGGCCAGACAACAACCATGTGAGGTGGGTCATATGGAACAGATTTAGATACAAGCCCATATCATCCTACTAGAGGAATGTAAAGTCTCTGCCGATCCCTTCCGCAAAGCTGTATCATGTGTGTGAGATAAATCCTGGGGACAGAAGGGCCTGCCAGACAACTGTAAGGACAATACGTCTGCTATCTCAAACCAAAACACATTTTTTTTTCTCTAAATGATACGGGTATGGTGAAGTTACCAAGCTACTTAATACATGTTTTCCCCTTTACACCTTAACCCTTAGCATGGGAACGTGAGCGTGTAGTTTTTATATTTAATTCTTACATTTTTAATTATGGCATATTATACATGCTGCCCTAGGACTGATGGCACAGTCAGAGCATAAACATCTTGTTACCTGATCATTATTTTAACAGGCAACTTATGTTTTACAACCCAATACTGCCTGGATCATGACACATCTGTGTGATTGTTGCTAATAATAAATGTGTAATAATGCACATGCTACGTGTGCAGTCCAGAAACCTTAACCTTTGGCAGAACCTTACCATACATGACACGGTTAGGTTGTCAACCCCACCCCCTTCCAATATGTAACTGAAAGGGTTAAAAACCCTTTTTTACCTCCCTAGGCATTGTCACAATGGAGATGGGACCTCTTCTGCCGAGGTCCAATCCTCTCGTCAACGTGCATGCGTGGCGATTGCTGCACTCGCATTCAAACTTTCCAATAGGTAAAGCTTTGAATCAATACTTTCCTTTGGGCTTCCGCATCATGTGATCACGTTTTACTAGGTCTGTACTGCAGAAGTGCCTCTAGTGGCTGTCAGTATGACAGTCACTAGAGGTGGAGTTACCCCTGCAATGTAAATATAGTTTCTCAAAAACTGCAAAGTTTTAAAGTTTTACATTGCAGGCTTAAGGGACATGGACACTCCACCTCCACCACTGCATTTAATTGATGTGGTCTGGGGAGGCTATAGTGTTTATTTAACCTTTGCCCTACCCTAACACACAACACTAAACATTAACCCCTGCACTACACTATCACTAAACATTAATCTTAACACTATACCAATATTACACTAAATATTATTTCACCCACTAAATTCAATTATGATGTCTTCAGAACCCATTTTGGATAGAGCATTACAGAACCAATGGGTAGGTTAGGCTTGTAAAAAAAGAGGGCCTACTTAGGGAATAAGCTAGAGTTAAAGATACACTTTAACTTTAGCTTAATGAAGCAATTTTGGAGTATAGATAATGTCCCTGCAGTCTCACTGCCCAATTCTCTGCCATTTATGAGTTAAATTACTTTTGTCTCTTTCCATGAAGCTCTAGCCACACCTCATGCAGTATGCATGGAAAACGGTTTCTTTTCAATCAGATGTTAATTTACTTTAGAAGTTTGTATCTCTTGCTCTGTAAATTGAACTTTAATCACATACAGGAATCTTCTGCAAGGTATAGCAAGCTATTAACAGTGCAGGAGAAATAAAAAAATATATCTAAATGTAACAGACTGCAAACAAAGGATGTTTAAACATTAGATCTCACTTTACAGGAAGTGTTTAGGAAGGTTGTGCACATTACAAGCAGGGAATGTGTGATTGGAGCTGCATAAAAAAGTGATTTAACTCCTAAATGGCAGAGAATCGAGCAACGAGACTGCAGCTTCTGTGCTTGTGCTATCCTAACAAACATATCAATAAAATCTATTTATTTAACCAAGACAGGCAGACATAGATCAGCAAAGCTAGCTGTTTCTCATCTGCCATCACAAGCTGTCTGATTCTACGCATTTCCACTGTATTTGCATTTCAAACGAGAGAGAAATGTTTCAATGTCAACAGGACATTTTTTTCATGATCTATACACCAAAACTGCTTCATTAAGCTTAAGTTGTTTTGGTGCCTATAGTGTCCCTTTAAAGGTTCAGGAGGGTGTTGTTTTGGCTAAATGACCCACAGTCTCGTGGAACGGTGTGTATACACACACAAACACAGTTTTATATAGTCAGAGCTTCTCAGTAGCCACTTTATATCTAATCAGCCAATGAGGTGGCAGCAAGAATGTAGCTATGGTAAAGGAATCCAGTTATTGTTCAAAACAAACATCACAACGTAGAAGCATCAGATGTGATTGGTCACCATAATATATTCATTCCCAGGGCTCCTATTTGATGTATTTGCTTTATGTTTCTATGTTTCTCAGTTTCTGTGCTTGTGCTATCCTAACAAACAAATCAGTAAAATCAAATTGAGACAGGCAGCCACAGATCAGCGAGGCGAACTGTTTCCCA